GGAGAAACTCGCGGTCCCGGCTTTCATTATTGGCATTCTGGAGTACAATGGATTTGACAATTTCGATACCATGGCAGAATATAGGGAGAAACTGCACTTGGAACCTTTACAAGTATTTTGCCAAACTGCACTAGTGCAAATTGCTGCCAAAGATTCAGACCATAGTGTTAAAAGAAAAAAGGAGTACTTCGGTCCATACTTCCTAGTACCTGAATGTTTTATATTTGCCGAAGGTCACAAAATAACATTGCAAAAGATCTCTGACATTTGCCAGAACCACACCAAGAGTAAGAAGAAATTGGAGCAACCTGAGCCAAAAACCCCCAAACCCCCAAAACATTTTAAAACTAATGTAGCAGCCCAAGCAAGGTATTGCTTTCTGTATTGTACATTATCGCAAACTGATAGCAATTCAATATATTAGCTTGATGTCTCATGTTACTTGTTTGTTTCTAGATCAACTCCACGCTCCTGAAAAGGTTCTGGTAGTGGGCAGCCTGACAATGAGCAGAGTCACATCTGTGAGAAGAATAAATTGTTGTCACGGATTTTTACGTCTACACAACCAATGCAAAACCTTTTACAAAAAGAACTACTCCGTAAGCCAGAAGTGTCAATTAACACAGAAACTGGGAAATTAAAAGCTTTATCTGCTTATCTGCCCTATTTGCACAAATCTGGTATACGAGAGGCTATTGATTTATTAACTGCAGTTTTCCATGGAACAATAAAACATTCAGAAAGTTCTATCTGTTACACCATGACGACTACGACTCTTTAAAATACTTCCTTGTATGGCAAAGTTCAAGGGAAATTCTCAAAATCACACCAAAATTACTTGAAATCGTTGGAAGTCTCAGGAAGTCAATGGAATTCCTATGAATTCAGAAGACATTTAACGGAAATCAATGGAAATCATGTGAAATCTCGCGAAATCAGTGAATTCACTTGAAATCTTTGAAATCCGTGGAAATCACCTGGAATCATGTGAAATCTTTGAAATCCGAAAATCAGGTGTACAAAATTTTTCGGAGTTGTGGGCCCCTCGACCAGCCCCTTCACGCACAGGAGAGAGGGACCACAGCGCCCCTTTCACCCTGGCCGGGGGCCGTCCCGCCCCGTCGTCGCGCCGTGGTCCGCGGGGACCCTGGGCCGAGTCACCAACGACATCCTGGTGGACTCCCTGCCCGGGCCGCGTCTTCCCGCGGCCGCCGCACCGCACCGCGCTGCGCTGCGCCGCCGCCGCGCTGCCGCACCGCGCCCCGTCCACCCGACGAGGCTGGCAGCCACCCCGGAGGCCCCGCCCGCGCCCGCCGACGCACCGAGCCACCGGAGGACCCCGGCGGCCAGCATCCCGCCGCCCCCGCCTTCCCCTCGCCTGAGCCGAGCGGGCCGGGGACTGCTTCGTCCACCCCCTCGGCTGGACAGCGGGGAGACCCCAGGACTTCGGGGGCCCCGAGGAGGCCCTCGGGGGCCCGGCGGACGGCGATCAAAGGGCGCGCACGGGCCCGGCGGCGACCTGGAGCTGGAGGAGGCGGAGGCCGACGGACGAGCGAGCGGACCGAGCTGACGACAGTCGAAAGTCGAAAGTCGAAGTTGAGTCGCTACCTGGGGCGCACCGTCGACCGAGTCCGCGTCCGTCGCCGTGACCCTCCGAGAGCCTCTGTGTATCTCCTTCGGCCCCACACTCTCAGCTTTCATCACCCTCACCCCCCCTGAACATTCATCATCTGGATATTAGTGCTGTGTGTGTGTGACTTGTGTGAAACTTCAAGATCGTGTGCCGTGGGCTAAGTGTTGTGTGTGCGTCTAGTGCTAGTGTACTTTAAGTGTTCAAGTGATAGTGCTGTGTGTGTGACTTTCTGCCGAAGTACCTGCTCCGCCAACCGAACTGTACTGGTGAGACGTGTGGGAAAGGCCGTGCCTGTACCTGAACTATTTCTTGGATTAGAGTTAAGAAAACTGACTTTTTCGTCGTTCCAATCCCACTTACTTCCTTCACTAATACACCAATCAGTCCATCCAATCGAACACAAACTCTAAATTATTGAAAAGGAAAACTACGACCTTACAAGGGGGCTTGGCTGCAGAAATGCAGAGCGGACCCGTGCCGCCGGTGGGGTAGGCAACTGTATGTACAGCCGCGGGGAAGCAGAAGGGCTGGTTGTGGCGGAGGAGAGGGGGAGGGGGCGGGGTGGTGCTTGGTAGCGTGTGGGGAGACAAAGCACGGGGAACTTATTCGCAACAACACTCATAGGTCAAGAGGGGGGGTTGGAGGCCCTGTAAACAGTGTAGCAGAGGGACTCGCGACCCCGACCGCCCAGAACGCTGACAGCAGCTGCAAGGGGTACATCTTTGTTGTGGCGGTCTTCCCTGCCGCTGACTGACCTCGCCACCGTGCCCTCCGGGCGCGCCGTGGCGGCCACGTTCGGGGACGTGAGGGTGGTGAACATGTACGCGCCGACAGGCAACGCGAGAAGAGAGCGCAATGAGTTCTTCGCGC